ACATGAGCAGTAACATGGACATAACAGAGTATACTGTTTCGCCCATGATACCCCCCATGCGTTGCCATTCCTGAGGACTCAGGTGTTATTCCTCTGTACCCAGTAAATTCACGCCTTATCTCACCCTTCAAACCGAAACACAGCCATGCAAACACAACTGCTTCACGGTTGAGACACGAATGGGACAGAGGTACCCAAGCAATCGACTTTTGTACAAAGTCTCCCTCTGGTCAACATTGTCAAATATTCATGTATTTATTATAATTTTAATTTCGATCCCTGCTCGTTTATAACTTTATTTGGATTTATTTAAATATGTATTTTTTTTTACCAATTCTTGTACAGAATATTTTTGATTGTTCTACAATATTGCATTTAAAGAGATAAATGTTTACAGTGTAAGTACGTGAAAGTGTGCATTTGTGTTTTTTTTTTTTATTTATATATATATATATATATATATATATATATATATATATATATATATATATATCTAATTTATATTATATCTAGATACAACACTTAATTCTAGCTTTGTTTGCTTAAAATTAATACCACTTCAAAACGTAAAAATAATTTGAAGTTGTTTTATTCCTGCTGTAGGCGACTGTTACCGTTTTATTTATTTATTTATATATTCATTAGTACAAATGTGTGTACATGGCGGACTTAATGCTAAAAACATTATCTCCCAGTCAACTGTAAGGAAGTGTCAGAATACTCGAATGCGGTACTAGTAATTATTAATATACATACATACTAAAATTACATATATAAACGAAAAAATATATATAAATAACAAATATACTTACACATATATGACATATACTATATTATACACGAAAATGAGAATAATATAAAGCACTTTCCATCAGGTGGGCCGTCAGCTTGTTAGCCATTCTAATTTGAATAAAAAAAAAAATCATACCCCTGCCAAATCAGCTTCAAGCTTATATTGTGTAGGTGAGTGACCTTGTCTATCTCGCTCTAACATATATTTTTGATGTTGTTAATACTTTATAATCTAAGCGAGAGAAAGTACAAGAATGTTGTTAAAACTTTCGTGGTCACAAATTATATTTTAATGTAATGACCGCTCAAGACTAAGGGTCCCGGATGGTCACGAAAGTAGTCAAGTTTTCCAGACCAAATTGCACGTAAGTTAAACAGGTAATTATTATATTAAAATACAAAAATGTTGCCATTATAAACGACCAAATCTTAATTTTGTCAGTCAACAGTTATATTTAGAGTTATTTCGTGGAAAAAAATATTTACTGAGTCTTCCTTACATTAATGTTTTAATAAATTGTCAAATAAAACAAAAAAAACGCAACGAGTTTCGTGGAAAAAGACAGTACGTAATTTGCGTGTGTAACGTGAAAACAAAAATACACATGAATAGACCTACTCTCTTTTGACAAAGCGCGCATAGACAATTAAAGCAGTCTCTGTTCTCTGGCTACGCTGTAAAACAAAATAAAATGCATGGACTAAACAACCGACAACCCTACGTTACAAATGTACATATTTCTCTCCTTTGCATTTCGCCTGTAAATAATTAATTTCTTTGCCTCTTTTCCCGTTATTCAGATAAATAACGATTGGATAAAAGCATTAACACGAAATACACACGTATTCGTAGGTATATTTGATCCATCTTAAAATTTGCATGGATTTTATAAAACTATTTATTTATTTATATTTTATTGTACGTAAATATTACATACGAGGGTTGTCTTTTGTGTCGTTTGAAATAAGTACAGCCAATCTAATAGATTATTACCATTTATTGTTTTTCAAAGAATTCTCCGCGACATTTAATACAATTTTGCATGCATTCAAACCAGTTTTTAAAACATTTATTCCATTTCGAAGTGGGGGTAGTCAAAATTGCCGATTTGTATGCGTCAACAGCTTCTTCGGGTGAGCTGATAACTTTGACCACGAAGACTGCTTAATTTTGAAGAACATAAAAAAATCGTTAGGGCCTAAGTCAAGGCTGTAAGGCGGATGATCTAAAATTTCGACATTTTGGGAGCTCAAAAACATCTTTGCGGGGCGGTATGCGAACTTGCATTGTCGTGGTGCAGTATCATTCGACATCCTGAATTGTATTTTCGAAATTCGGTGATGACTTGTGGCAAATGATCTTCTAGTACAATAGTGGCGACGTGACCATCCTTTGCTACAAACGAGGCAATAACTTTTTTTCGAAGTGCTCCGTGAACGTATGACGTTGGTCAATTTTGGCTCATTCTGGAAGATCCAGACACTTGACAGCTGCTTAGAATCTGGATCGTAAGCATATATCCAAGATTCGTCACCATTAATCATATCATAAACATGCTTTATTCATTGTATAATATAGTGTTGTTGTATTGTTATTGTATTTTTGTTGTACATATCTATATGGGTATATCTTGTCTGTTAAGTGTATGTATGTATGTATATGTGTGTGTGTGTGTGTATGTATGTATATATGTGTATGTGTATGTATGTATATATGTATGTATATGTATGTATATATATATGTATGTTTGCTGTCGTCGTTCGTAATGTCACGTATGGGCACCACAGAATATCAGCGCTGTAGCAATTAAATTGCTGCAGCACATGCTGAGTGGTGACCACGTTGGCAATAATAAATGTAAAGTTTTTTTTTAATTCATAATTTATGTAACTTTTTGTTGTTGTCAATAAATGTTTTCTTTCTTTCTTTCTTTCTTCTTCTTTGTCTCTTCTCGGGTGAATCGCAGCAGAATTTTGCGACACCAACTAACAAGGGCTGTTTTTTGGTCGTTGCTAAGCAAATATCCAACGAGAGATCAATTTTCTTAAGCCAAGTTCTTCGTGCAGGAATTTTTGGACAGTGGTCCCTGAAATGCCCACGGATGCCTCTATTTCACGGTATGTCACATGATGATCTTTGAGGATTAGTTGCCGCACGGCTTCGATATTCTCTTGCGTCATGGCATCATGGTTTTTGGACGACCTTCACGTGGCTCGGTACTGAGGCTAGAGCGCCCACGGTGAAATTCTAAATACCAGCGTTCTATAGTCCTAAGACATGGTGCTGCATCACTAAATACACAAGTGATCTCCTCAAAGCACTGAAGTCGCGATAATCCCCTTTGAAAGTTGTAGAAAATTGTCTTGACCTTTGAATAGACGATACAATAATACTATTCGACTAATCTGAAAACATTGTTTTGTTTTCGAATTTTAAATTTAAAAAGATGAAAATGCCATTTTTTTTTAATAATTGCGGGAGGTTGGCAAACGACACGACTTAAAAGACGTAGTTATAATTTATTTAGTATAAATCCATACAATAGACGAGCTTCACTCTATTAGTTTTCTTCTAGATTTTTCTTTTAAATGTAATAGTGTAGTAATAATTTTACACTTTGATTTTGAAATAATAGTATGGAACTATCTTGAAGGTATTTAATAAAAAAAAAAAAACTATATATTCAGCGAAATAATAATCAAATTCAAGGATTAATAGATACTAAGTCCATGATAGTCTTTTTTTAAGCCAGTATGTTCAGACAGGATTCGGTTAAGGTGAAATATTCTCAATTTGATCATTTTTCTTATTAGTAATTGTAAAATGAATAACTATTTTTGGCAATCATTAAAGTTTCCACCTCTGTTGTTCCATATCAATTGTGTAACTGTTGAATCCACCGTTTTGCTTTGCGGAGCAAAATACTCATCGTGGAAAAACAAAATTTATTTAGATAGATTCTTATCCGCGTTCCAAATTCAAATGGGTACTTTAAATCCAACGTGTCTACGAATCATTTTGTCGTTGGTAGGCTCGTTTGATTGGTTTTAAAATAAATCAATGCTAATTTTATTATTAATTTAACCACCCGCTCTGGCTTTGCATGGACGCAAATTGTACATACAACCTTCCGTATAAAAATATTTAAATGACAGTGAATCATCATTTACGTGTAGAAGAAGTGAGCGGAGAAACAGACAGACGCGGACAGCGGCTTTGTTTTCTATATAATTTAAATCTATATTAATTTTTTTTATACAACTTAGAATGGCAAGCAAGCTGACGGCCCACTTGATGGAAAGTGGTAACCGTCGCCTATACACATGAGCAGTAACATAGACATAACAGAGTATACTGTTTCGCCCATGATACCCCCCATGCATTGCCATTCCTGAGGACTCAGGTGTTATTCCTCTGTACTCAGTAAATTCACGCCATATCCCACCCTTCAAACCGAAACACAGCCATGCAAACACAACTGCTTCACGGTTGAAACACATATGGGACAGAGGTACCCAATCAATCGACTTTTGTACAAAGTCTCCCTCTGGTGAGAGTGAATAAATTGTGTTCCATAACAAGAAACCGACTTTCATTGCAACCAAACTAGTTATTTTTATTTGAAAACTAGCTGACCCGGCAAACTTCGTACTGTCTCAATCGATAAATAAAAGATTTAAACTTTTGTATAAAATAAACTTGAAACAAACTTAAAAGGAATCCATAATTAATAAAAAATCTACATAAAAATAATCCGAAAGATAGTTGCCAACTTTCATATTTATTCACCTTTTAAACCTTCTCTGGACTTCCACAAATAATTCGAGACCAAAATTTGCCAAATCGGTCCATTCGTTCTTAAGTTTTAGCGAGACTAAAAAGGTCGGCAGCACAACTGCAATGCCTTTGGTGTTGTGGGTGATCATGGACGGCGGTAGTCACTTACCATCAGGTGAGCCGCATGCTAGTCTGGTAATTACTGCTCTTTTCCACTCAGCGTTTGCTGGAAGAGAACTCTTACAGAGTTAAGCTCGCCTTTTGTGCATCTTCATTTAATATATATTATAACAATGTAATTTATGTGTACAATAAAGTTAAAAAAAAATAGCCGATTCGAGAAGTACCTTCTTTTCGAAGTCGGCTAAAAATGTACGTAAACTGTTTACGCGAAAATATAAGTTTAGTTGCAGCCGTGTTCACGTGTCCACCCACCCACGTCGGAAGGTGTAAGGTGTAAGGGTGGGATATAAACAAGGGCACGCGACTGTGGCGTCCAGTCGGCACAGACGCACACCGCCGCTGGTCGTGCTGGGACCGCTCACCGCACACACCGGGAACAGGTTTGTGCACCCATGCAACCCACAGATATGGAGTTTATAGATGGCGCATATAAAGTTTACAGGGTGTTTCACCAAGTCATTGGCATTTTTAAAGGAGTGTTCCATAAGTGAAAATAGATATTTTTTTTCAAAGAAGATTACCGTAGGTTTGGGAAACGGCAAAAGATTTTTGTATTATATATTAATTAGTTATTAATTAACGTTTTGTATGTATTTATTTGTTAATTGATTACTAAATTAGGCGACGGTTTTCGTTTTTTATCAGGTTTTTAACAGTCAATTTGTTAACCGACTTCAAAAACAAGGGGGTTTTGAATTAATTTTTTTTTATTGTTACCTCATAACTCTGTCAATTCTAAATCGACTTGGAAAATTCCTATTTGATCTGAAAGGATATATTTACAGAATTATTAGAATTTACATCAAAATCGGATTAGTAGTTTAGTTTTTAAATCAAAATAATTGGTTTTATCACAACTGAAGTTGGTTTTTTTTGTGGGAAACAATCTTTAATTATTTTCTTTTTTAACTAGAATTAAAAAACTTTATTATTATTACAATGTTATGTTTAATATTAAGATTACTATGGCACGATATAAAAAAAAATAACAAATAAAAGTGAAATATATGAATGAAAAATGATTTTTTTGCGAAATATTTTTTTTTCAAATTACATTTTTTTTTGTTCAAAAAACACTCCTTTAAAAAGATTGCAATGATTTCAACTACATCCTGTATTTTGAGTGTGAATTAAGTCCCTAATTAAGTTGATTAACTTCTGCTTCGTTTCGATTTTGAGATCTCATTGACAAATATTGCTAACAGTTTAGAAAATCGACAAAAACAGAATTACTGATGATATTTACGAAAGTATTTAGTGCGAGAAGAGTTTTGCTGCCAATAAAATGCTTTTAAAACATCAAATGAAGTAATTAATGGAGCCATGCTTAGTTTAATATAAATTAAGGTATTGCGTCATCTATTTTAAATTTATATCTGTGGAAAATATGAATTACCAATATATTAAGAGTTGTTGTGATTGATGTATCCATTTTATTTTGAAAATTATCTTTTAATGAACGTGACGTAATGGTATACTTTTTCGATTTACAAACTTTTACAAAAATATTTAAAACATTTGTTTATATAAATAGTTTTTAACAAAACTCTGGCTATGTGGTTAAATATTGCTTAGTGTAATGATGTTTATTTTTATAATTTTATGTCTGAGTTTTTGTCTGTTTGTCTCTCTATCTGTTTCGGTATCACGCAAACTGTTACACCAAACAATGCGTTTCTCACATTTGTATTTCTAAGGGTCTAACTAACTTCAAATCTGGTTTTACCTCCATATGCCATCTAAATGTGGGTACCTATTTCCAAAATCCACGCATACGAAGTTGCTGGCAAAAGCTAGTGTTATTAAAAAATTTAGTTTTTTTTTCCAGTCAATCGTATAATTTCTTTTTAAATAGTTTGTTATTTAGTATTTTAAATAAGTTTGAAATTTGATTGTACATGTAAAAAAAAACATATAATTAAAAAAAGATAGCTTTGGTCATATTAAACAGCGTTATCTAATCCTAAACTAAATTTAAATGGGTTCTAAACAACTGATAGAAATACTTAAACCCTTATATAATACGTAAATATTAATATGTGAAGCAAAAACTTTGTAGCCCTTTTTAAGAAAATTGCGCGGACGGAAAGAGTATGAAATTTCGCACACTTATAGTTTATATAGAGAAGGAGTGCAGAATGCTAATATTTTTTTTTAAATTATGCATAAAAAATACATTAAATCAATAAAAAAAAAAGACATTACATACACTACTACGTATTTGACACACAAAATATACTCTTTTGTTTATTGTTAAAGTCTGTGGTCAAATTGAGAATAGATTAATATTATTTGTCTATAGTCTTATACCTTTCTACTTAACTTACTTTCTTAGGATATTATAATTAATTTATAACTATACTAATTTTTGTAATTTGTCTTGTAATTTTATATTGTTACCCTGTAATTGTTACTTTTTGGCTGATGGCTTTCGCCAAAGTCACAATAAATGAAAAAAAAAATGTCTATAGTCTCACTGAATGTCAAACGTAACCATAATAAATTCATTTATTACAATATATAAATTATGGTCGAATTTCGACCACTGGGCGGTCACTAGTTCGTTTAAATACATAAATGTTATACATAGATCAGTACAAACAGGTATATTCATGAATATATATGTATGTATTGTGCAGGAATCGAATTGGCGATCATTACAAAATGAGGTGATATGTTAAACCGCTTCACCACCAAGGTTATCAAAATTACCTTTATTATTGAAATTTGATTATTGAAAATTAATTTAATTGTAAGCTTTTTCCTCCTATGTACTCGTTCCATTAGAATTTGTACACAATTTTAGTAACTTTTTTTTCTCAAAAAATACGAAAGGAAACTTTGATTTTTTTTTTATTTTGTCACTGGCATTGTTTAAATTTACCAGCGTTGGGACGTGAATTATTACTGAAATATTCTTTAAATGAAAATATTCTGACAATTAATCGATAACCGGAGGGAGACTTTGTACAAAAGTCGTTTGCTTGGGCACCTCTGTCCCATTCGTGTTTCTACCGTGAAGCTATTGTGTTTGCATGGCTGTGTTTCGGTTTGAAGGGTGGGATATGGCAGTGAATTTACAGGGTACAGAGGAAGAACACCTGAGTCCTCAGGAATGGCAACACATGGAGGATATCATGGGCGAAACAGTATACTCTGTAATGTCCATGGTACTGCTCATATCTATAGGCGACGGTTATCACTTTCCATCAGGTGGGCCGTCAGCTTGTTTGCCATTCTAAGTTGCATAAAAAAAAAGATTACATTCGTACTACTAGGGACATTAGCACACTATCTTTCATAGAAGGACAAGCAAGCTGAAGTGGTAATGGACTGGTCACATCGCTCGAAGAACCGACAATCGATGGGGAAAAAAGGTTTTTTTTTTGGTTCGTTAATTAAAATACTGTATCATCATATCAGCCTTTAACTGTCCACTGCTGGACATAAGTCTCTCCCTTGGGGAGTTTTGTTACCACGTTTGGCAGGCGGATTGCCAACTGCAGTTAGGCTTTAGAGATGTTTTAATAAGGACGCTGCTGCCTAGTCCTCGTCTTCTCTTAGTCGCTTCTAACGACGCCCATGGGAAAGGAAGGGGTGGCCTATTCTATGCCTAGTAGAGAATACTGTATAGATGCCTATATTTATTATTTCATCTATCTATAATAAAAGACAATGATGATAATGCCACTTTGGTGCTTTATAAGCCATAATTTGCCATAGACATTTTATTATGTCCTAATGGAAACATGTACCATATTATTATGACATTTTATTATATCCTAATGGAACTTCATACCGCCCACAACGCCATCTATTAAAAGTAATCCAAAATAGCGATTCTCTCTCAGTTTGTGCAATTTCTTTAAACGTATTAAAATTAAACTAATGTTGTAAATGAACAAAGGGAATATTGGCAATAAATCCAATTAGGTAATTTAAAAGTGTTTAAATTAAAACGTTTACAAAATAAAATTATTCCTCTTTCGCAAAATATACACAAAAATCAAGTTGTATTGGTAACTTTCACCTTTTTTTATAGTCGGCTAGATGTCTTATTGAATAAAATTACTCCTATTTTGAAAAATATATACAAAAAACAAGTTGTATTAGGAATCTCCAGCTTTTTCTGTAGTCGCCTAGAAATCTCATTGAAAAACACAATTTCCGTTCTGAGCACCTGTCAGTGTTTTACAATCGTTTATTATTTCCACGTCAATGGGAAAGTTCATTGAAATAAATCTTTGAAAAAGTTGATTTTATTGCTTACTTGTATAATTGTGTGCGTTACAGCATGGTGTTTTTTTTAATGATGAAAATGGAATGGTAACCCCGCCCCCGCTATCGGTATACACCGACGAGACACCAGTGGAAGATGATAGTTGAGAATGAATGCAGGTCAGTTGGCCCACCATGATGAATTGGACAAGAATTAAATATGATGGTTTCCAAGGGGAACCGTTTGGAGGTCGACCTGAGAGGGTATATTGCTAGCAATGGGGCTATTAGACCCCATTACTAACAATCCCTTTTCCCCTTGCAGCCCAGTGTGTGATAGTTGACATTTTGGCAATTTTTATCGGATGATTTTTATGGTTCTATTTACATATTCTATTTTAGGTACAAGGGTATTCTTACTGTAGGATTTTTGTCCGTCTGTCACAGCACCATATCTCAGTGACTATTAAGTGATTATTAATACATAAAATAATGTTACATAACTTGACTGTAACATTATTTTTTATTGCTAACAGAATTAATAAAAAGAGGTTTTCAGTTTGGTTGTATGTTTTTGTTTTTATTTTTTTATAACTATAAACTACATATCAGCTATAAACCAATGTAGATTTTTTTTTGTTTCAAAGGATATAAATACTTGCTAGATATATTACTTACAGATGGTACCATCATCTTTAATACCATCTTAGAAACTTTACCAAATTTTTTTAAATAGTTTAGTTTAAAAATCAAAGTTTTTTGCTACAGTTGAACGTGGTTTTTTTTTTTATGGAACGCAATATTAAATTATAGTGTACACTATACGAGACATATTATTAGACTATTTGTGTGTTTATAATATTTTTTTTTGTATTTTGTATTTTTATCATCTTTTTCTTAAAAAAAAAAACAGCAAATCTTTCATAAACATATTTTGCGGTTTTGTAAATGTTTCCTCCCATGAACACTCAGGTTATGGAATGAGCTCCTTGCCGACGTCTTCCTACAGCATGGGGTTTTTCAAAAGGGTGGTAAAAAAGTTTCTTCAGGGTTAGCAACGCGCGCGTAATATCTCGAGTATTGCAGGTGTTCATACGTTACGGTAACCTCTTACTATCAGGTAGGCCGTATGCTTATTTGCCGCCTGAGTGGTATAAAAAAA